TTCTCGAACCCAAACAAACAACGACTTATTAAAAAGACTTCTAATTTCGTCTGATCCATACATTTCTATCTTAAGGAAATCTCCCAAGACCAAGCATGGAGCCATTACTCCAGATATATTAAAATTGCTTAAAAACCCATTATTAAATATTGAATTTGATGAGAGTTAAGTCAATTTGCAAAAATTCTGTCTAATAAAAAACTAATTTAATAGTGTATTTTGGTTTTTCATTCATTTCCAATGTGTGGTTCCTATGGGAAGTGGGCGTGGCGGTGGGCGGATTTATACAATTTTTTGCCTGAACGTACTTTTCGTCACGAAAATGATATGTGCAAAAATTCATAATTTTATATCCATTAGTTTTCAAGTTATGATTTTTGTCGTCCTAATTTCGAATTTCGTACACTGTGCACCGTCTTCAAAAGAGTCACAACTCAAAATTTGGCATTTTTGCAATTATGCGCTAAAAATGCACAGAGCCCTTTTATTTACCTTTCAGCAAAAGCTGGAGCAAATTTTTGTTATAATTTGCTAAAAAAAACCCAAAGGTAAAGTCGTCCTTGCCCATATCATTACTGTATTAACTCACTTGCTTGAAAAAATTAAAAAATTTTTTAACTTGAAAATCGCACTGAATAAAATGAATGCTAACGCTTTAACATTTCTTTCACCATAATCTAGCAAACAAAATTCACGCAGCTTCACAAAACACGGCTTCACACTTCCGCCCTCTCGCTCTCATTATTAGCATCCATTTTGAAAAAATGGAAAAACCAAAGGCACCGAATCCGGCTCGACACTGACCAAACTGTATTCCACAACTAACGGAAATACGTCTTTGCATAATGCATTCTGCATTATGCTATTCTTTAAACAAAAGGAGGAAACCCCCTTAAACAAAAGGAGGAAAAACCCCAACACTCACAACCGAATACCAAATTAATGCACTTATTTTTTGGAAGGGAAAAAGGCAACGCTTTGCTTGACAGTTCGAACTTTGACAACAAAGGAGAAGGTATGCTACAATAAACGCTTTGACAGCTTTTGCGTTCTCCTTTTCCTCCATATTTTACATCTGTAAAATAGATAACAAAATAATAATATGCATTAATCATAGCAATAATAGTTCCCAGTTACCTTATTTTTGTCATTAAATGCAAATGCTCACGAGAAAAGATACATGTAGACAGTTGATTGCCAAAGCGCGCAAAAGTTGAGAGTAGCCGATGATTTTGCTTCGGTTTGCTTTCCTCGCATTCTATTTAGCAAGACTCGTATAAAATCAGTTGCGATCCCGTACGAGTCCGGACTAGTCAGAAACAGTCAGATTTTACTGGAATTCGATCCCGTACTCGGTTCTCTGACTATTGAGAGGACAAAAAAGAGAGTAAATACGGTTCTCTCTCCGTCAGAAGTTACTAGTTTTAGTCCGAGAATTTTTTGCTGGTAAATGTGTCAAACGATCAGCTGTAGTGTGTTTGGCGACCAAATTGTAAACAAAAGAAAAGTGCACTCTGCTTCATGTTGAAAAGTATTTAATTACTTGTTGAAGTGGATTCTAATGAATTTGAAAGTATTTTTGGTTATTTACATGTGTGAGCTGAGTGTGTTTACATATAAAATAAGCAAAAATTTACAACCAAAATTTGGAGGTTATGTTGAAGTTGTCAGAAGCTACCATTTTTTACTAGAAAGCGATCCCGTAATTTTCAATGTTACTCTCTCGCTCTGAGCGAATTTTTATTTTTTGACAGTTTCACTAGTTCGAGTCTGAGGAATACGGGATTGCACCTATCATGTATTGAACTTATCTGTCAAAGCGGAATTATGAAGCAAAGCGAAGCAAAAGTCTTATGTAAACGGCCCTTTATATTTTATTATTATTCTTCATCGCACACACACGTCACTTGAAATTCAAAAACCAACTCCCTATTCGTATGGCGACTATCGTCCCAGTGCGAAAAAGAGCATTCGCATTGTGACATCGTCCCTGTACGAAACAAATATAAAACAATTCAGTTTAAAACACAAGCAAATTTATCTGGTGGAAAAAAATTAAATAAAAATTTCATTATTGCCATGACAAGAAGATTCGAGGTTGCCATATCCAACATATTGTATTTATTGATCAATATTATTGAAGATTTAACTTAATATTATTCGAGATTTAATTGTGTATGGTAAATCTCGCAAGATTTAACGTTGAATATTGTCGAAGGCCTAAATCTCATTTAAATCTCGCAATGGAGACATATTAGGGGTATTCTCCAAATCTTGCAAAGCCATTGCACGTAGCACGGATTGCAGGGATTGCATAACTTGCAAACACACAACCACAAAATACATGGGAAACAACATTTCCTATCGCTGCAAAATATGCAAATGCGACCTTGTGCTAGTTGTTTTGTTGTTGGAATTGCTACAAATTTCTCTCATTCCTCTCATCTCGCTCTAATCTTTTTTTTTGCTGTCTCTTGTTATTGTAGTTGATACATAACGTCGCTGCTTGCTACCCATGCATCCTACCACTTTGCAATGGGGTCTCTCGTACTCTTCGAAATTTGANTTTTGCATTTCGTGCAATCCGTGCACCGTGCAAGACTTCGAGAATACCCCTATTATAAATTAACGCGATCCCTTGTGGTACCACAAAGGTCCCAATGATGGCCCTTTGGTGTGTCTACCAGCTACCATTCTAACCTAACCTTCTTAACGTAAGTTGCGAATTTCTTGCAAACGCTATTTTAATTGATAAATGCTGCATTGGTTATTTTCAAATTCCATTAGGTTTTTAGGGAGTCATCTACGGATTTTCGTACAAAGCAGGATTTTCTAAGAAAATTAGTATGGCCTTCCATATTATTTTTACAGTCCTCTTATTAGCTCAGGATGTAACTATGTAATATTGATGCGCCTAAAAGATGCAGCGATTTCTATTATCAAGTTACATACCTGATGACAGTACGAATGGCAATTATAATAGGGAGGTTTTAGTTTTTTAAACTATATTTTTTTTTTATTCTTCTTGTTCTTTGGCGCTGTAAACGCCTAAGCGATTTTGGCCGAGTGCCAACTGAAGCCAATTGGAAATGCCGAGTGAAATCAAGTCCTCCTCCACTTGGTCTTTCTATCGCTGCACTATGTCCATGATGTTGTCATTTTCCAATCTTCTGCGCCATATACAAGCACGAGCATTATGAGTAACTTATAGAGTGTGGTTTTTGTACGTGGAGAGAGAACTTTACTCCTCAATTGCCTACTCAGTCCACTTGTTGGGAAAAGTGATTCTGCACTGGATTGCGATGCTGACAATATTATCGGTGTTAATGCTCGTTCCCAAGTAAACGAACTTCTCTACTTTCTCGAAATTATAACTGACATCAGTGCCGTGAGTGCCAAGGCGTTACTGTTTGTTTGATAACCAATCGCTTTGCTTTCATTATCCAACTTGGAAAGGCAGAACAGACTTCGCGGTTCTTGTCATCGGCATACGCCAGCAATTGCTCCTGAGCAGTGTTGAAGATCTTATTATCTTCTCCAAGATGAGGTTAAAATCATATTAAAGGGAGTCGCCCTGTCTGAAACACCGTTTGGTAGCTAACGGCTCGCAGACGTCTTTCCCAATTCTGACGGAGCTGGTAGTATTGGTCACGTATTCTAACACAGCCGTATCAGTTTCGCGGGAATGCCAAATTCAGACATCGCGGCGTATAGGCAACTCCTTTGAGTGATGTTGAAAGCGACATAGAAGTCGATAAATAGATGGTGAGTGTCGTCATTTTCTCGCGAGCCATTTCCATGATTTGGAGTTTTGTGAATACCTGGTCTATGGTGGCTTCAGTATTTCCCACAATACACGCGATAAACCTTGTACCCTATGCAGTTGGCGCGGGTTTGCCTTCTTGTGGATTGGTCAGAGCATAATTAAATTCCAGTCGTCGGGCATGTGTTCATGTGACCATATTCTGCATTTGATTAGCTCATCATGTATTTGAATAGCTCATCTTGTACTTGAATAGTCACATGCTGAAGCTTTGTTGTTTTTCAGCCGCATAATTGCTATTCACTCCTCGTCATAGTCAGCCGGGGGAACATCGACTCCGTCATCATCGACTGGGGTTTCGCGTTCGTCTTCTCCACAACTTTCAGTCCTGCTACCATTCAATAGGGTGGAAAAGTGTTCCCTCCATAATTTAAGTATGTTATGGACATCGGTCTCTAGGTCGCTATGGCAGTTCTTATAGGAGTTCGCTCTGGTCTTGAAGCTTTGGTTCCACTGCTCGCAAATGTCGGTTTGCTGAATTGTGCTCTCAGAGTGCATATGTGAGAGTTCAGTGGCGAATAAGTTGGCCGTCTGTTGTGATCAATTTACCATTCTCAAAGATGGCTTGAGAAATTGGTGAATCGTGAAGAAAACACGTTTTCTCACTGCAAATTCACAGCTGTCAACTCGTTGTTCTTCGCCATATTATTTGTTTACCCGTTGCCACAAATGTCATTCTGCGGGAATGCGCAATCTTGTATTCTATCGTTCTTGTCCAATACTAGTATGGGAACTATTTATGCACGTTTATTTGCCACAAGTTTTTCAACGGCTCGGCGCCAGTGAGCCATTCGCAATCGTATGCTGCGAATGCCGCATTTTACTAAAGCCAGCATTTATATATAAGCTACGAACACATACTACGTTTATACGTAAGCTATTTGCAAATAAAAATAATTTGCAAATACCTAACTCACTGTTTATTCCATGGTGAAAAATTCTTTTTTAATATTGCCTGATTATAAATTCGAAATTTGAAATATTCTTTTTGCATTTCGTGCAATCCGTGCATCGTGCAAGACTTCGATAATACCCCTATTATAAATTAACGCGATCACTTGTGGTACCACAAACGTCCCAATGATGGCCCTTTGGTGTGTCTACCAGCTACCATTCTAACCTAACCTTCCTAACGTAAGTTGCGAATTTCTTGCAAACGCTGTTTTTAATTGATAAATGCTGCATTGGTTATTTTCAAATTCCATTAGGTTTTTAGGCAGTCATCTACGGATTTTCGTACAAAGCAGGATTTTCTAAGAAAATTAGTATGGCCTTACATATTATTTTTACAGTCCTCTTATTAGCTCGGGATGTAACTATGTAATATTGATGCTCCTAAAAGATGCAGCGATTTCTATTATCAAGTTACGTACCTGATGACAGTACGAATGGCAATTATAATAGGGAGGTTTTAGTTTTTTAAACTATATTTTTTTTTTATTCTTCTTGTTCTTTGGCGCTGTAAACGCCTAAGCGATTTTGGCCGAGTGCCAACTGAAGCCAATTGGAAATGCCGAGTGAAATCAAGTCCTCCTCCACTTGGTCTTTCTATCGCTGCACTATGTCCATGATGTTGTCATTTTCCAATCTTCTGCGCCATATACAAGCACGAGCATTATGAGTAACTTATAGAGTGTGGTTTTTGTACGTGGAGAGAGAACTTTACTCCTCAATTGCCTACTCAGTCCACTTGTTGGGAAAAGTGATTCTGCACTGGATTGCGATGCTGACAATATTATCGGTGTTAATGCTCGTTCCCAAGTAAACGAACTTCTCTACTTTCTCGAAATTATAACTGACATCAGTGCCGTGAGTGCCAAGGCGTTACTGTTTGTTTGATAACCAATCGCTTTGCTTTCATTATCCAACTTGGAAAGGCAGAACAGACTTCGCGGTTCTTGTCATCGGCATACGCCAGCAATTGCTCCTGAGCAGTGTTGCAGATCTTATTATCTTCTCCAAGATGAGGTTTAAATCATATTAAAGGGAGTCGCCCTGTCTGAAACACCGTTTGGTAGCTAACGGCTCGCAGACGTCTTTCCCAATTCTGACGGAGCTGGTAGTATTGGTCACGTATTCTAACACAGCCGTATCAGTTTCGCGGGAATGCCAAATTCAGACATCGCGGCGTATAGGCAACTCCTTTGAGTGATGTTGAAAGCGACATAGAAGTCGATAAATAGATGGTGAGTGTCGTCATTTTCTCGCGAGCCATTTCCATGATTTGGAGTTTTGTGAATACCTGGTCTATGGTGGCTTCAGTATTTCCCACAATACACGCGATAAACCTTGTACCCTATGCAGTTGGCGCGGGTTTGCCTTCTTGTGGATTGGTCAGAGCATAATTAAATTCCAGTCGTCGGGCATGTGTTCATGTGACCATATTCTGCATTTGATTAGCTCATCATGTATTTGAATAGCTCATCTTGTACTTGAATAGTCACATGCTGAAGCTTTGTTGTTTTTCAGCCGCATAATTGCTATTCACTCCTCGTCATAGTCAGCCGGGGGAACATCGACTCCGTCATCATCGACTGGGGTTTCGCGTTCGTCTTCTCCACAACTTTCAGTCCTGCTACCATTCAATAGGGTGGAAAAGTGTTCCCTCCATAATTTAAGTATGTTATGGACATCGGTCTCTAGGTCGCTATGGCAGTTCTTATAGGAGTTCGCTCTGGTCTTGAAGCTTTGGTTCCACTGCTCGCAAATGTCGGTTTGCTGAATTGTGCTCTCAGAGTGCATATGTGGGAGTTCAGTGGCGAATAAGTTGGCCGTCTATTGTGATAGCAGCTTTTCGACGCTGAGAATTGCTTGCACTGTTGGGTGCACATTTTTTGTTGCACAGAGGCGGGTGCGTATCTTGTCTGTAACAAGATAGTAATCAGAGTCGTTGTTTAGGCTTCGGAGTGGACGTCCGTTGAATTTTCGATCTGGAGACAGCCATGTAGCTTGATGGATCTTTTTATGCTTGAACCTAGTAGTGAATACTACCATGTTTCGGGCCCCGGCAAAGTCGATCAGCCTCAGTCCGTTGTCGGATGTTTCATCGTGGAGGCTGAATTTTCCGACGGTGGTTCCAAAGATCTCTTCCTTACCACCCTGCCCCACCGAAGCTTCCTCTCTATCTGCCGTGACCCAAGGCTCCACTCGGATTGGTTACCGCATCCCGCACATGGGTTGATCACGTTGCCCAGAGTGCGCGAACGAGGACGCAAGTGTCGGGATTGAGTGTAGCCATGCGTCTGTATCTGCATAGCCAGCGCAACTGCATACTCCCATTGCACTCCTCTCTATATTAAACCATTTGATGGATTTTGGACTCCACCAACAACGATCAGTTGATTTTAGAGACTTACTTATTAGTCAAGATTTACTCTGATAGCTATTAACATTTTAATAAAGAATTTGATAGATATAATTTTCGTCTTATAAGTCCATTTTAATGTGGTATTTTTTTCGTGGGAGCTGAAAATATCGATTGTTTTAAATAGTGTTGATGAATCATGCGTATCGAAAATATTTATTTTTATAATACATCAAATTTATGTTTTGCGAACATGATAACAAAATATTGTTTAATATATCTTTTTAATTCAATTTAATTTAATACAGACACATACATATGTACATATTAGTTAAATGCCTTGTTTTGTATTGATTTTTTGTAAAACTTTCTTTTTGTTTTATTTTTTAAAATAATTTGGTTTCAAAAGCATATTTACCTGACAATGTCTGTGGAATAACAGATTTTATAATACTGTCCTTTGAACATTCACTACATATGTGCAATACTTAAACCTATTTTATTAAGTACTGAAATGTTTTTGAATTTGAGTTTTTAGCATTACATTATCATTTACAAAATAGCTATTAACTACATAGCAAACAGGTCACTCAAATCTAACTACGAGTACATACAAACATATGGTTCCTTATGTACAAAATTGTGAGTTTTAATTGCTAAATCTTAACCTTTAATTATTAGGTCTTGCTTCATTAATCTAATTCATTGTTATAAAGTATTTTTATACTTACAAAAAAAAGTAATTTACATACGAAATTATTTAGCTGATTCATAAGGATTCATAACTAATCACATTGTCATAATGTCATATGTTACATAAAGGTTAAAAATTATTTAGAATAACTCACAGCATCTGAGAAGCAAATAAGTAATTGGCGCTTATTTATTTCCTCATGCTTAGCTGAGCTTCTCCTCTAGGCGCCTTGATAGTGCCACACAAAGGTAAAAGACCATCAGGTTTACGCCGCCTCGGAACGACAAATTGTTTAATGAGAAGCTTTTTTCATTGCTTTTTTAATTACAGAGGTTTGACATTGCCTGCCGCGGGGCGTCCGCTATTGGAAAACATTTTTTTTCGTGTTGCTTGGATCAGGTATCGAACCCTGCACATACGGAGTGGCACCTCCGACCACTCGGCCATGGCAGCCGCTGCACATCGACTACAAAAGAGTATCAATCGTTTTAAAAGGAATAGGGCATACTAACAGTCAAAATAAAGTTAATTACAGCTGTTTGACATAATTTTCAAAGGAATATCTGTCAAAAAAGCTGCACCTAACTTTAGAGTTGGCTTTATTTTGAATATGAATATGCCCCAATAACTTTATGACAATATGCGTGTTATGACACCGTTTCCATGTCTTTACAACACAAACGAGAAAAGCACAAACAAATATCTCACACACAAAAATGTCATAAACATAAATCACTCCGATAAAGAATAACACGGAATAGAAATATACATTTGAGTTGTATTTTATTACATTGCATGTATTTACTTTATTTTTAATTCACCTTCATAGTCAAACTATAAAAATTCATGATAAAAATTAAATTAAGTTTTCAATAATAAACTTTAATAAGTATAAAAAGCGTGGATTGAAAAAAAGCGTTTAGTTAAATTAATCCAAATAGTTTAATTAAGTATTTGATTATAGGGGTTGCATTTAAAATGGAAATAAGATCCGCAAAAAGGAAATAAAGTCCGCGGGTTTTATTTTTTTATTCCAATAAGAAATAACACCCACTGGTATTTTATCCTAAAAAGGAAACAACGCCGGTGCCTGATATTTCCGCGGGTGTAATTCACTCCACTTGCGTTGTACGCACACCGCAGTTAAACTGCATAACATTGCATTCACACCTTTTGGAAGTCAGCCATATTTATAATAAAAAGTGCATATATCTTCTCCAACCAAATTTTCCTAGGGAACCAAAAATAAACATTCTTTTGTCCTAGTTGATAGGCCCTTTATTCATATATGAATTTAATCTAAATGGATGCTGAAAACTCTCTTTTAGGGGATTCCCTTAAACTCAGAAAGTCTCAAACTGTGTAAAACTCGTAAGTTTACGAGGCTTTTATGGGAACGCCCCCTTTGTGAAAAGGTATAAATAGGTGCGTAAAGTGACTGTTTGACAGATCAACTAGGATTTTGTGAAGCAATTTTTGTTTCGTAGTATTTTACATAACATCTTGTCTCTATCACTATTGGCTAAAATACAATTAAAAATGCCGAAAATTTGCTGAAAACCTATGTCAATAGAGTAAGTGGATGAAATTCATTCATTTTATTCGCTTATTATTTTTTTCATTATTTAATCATACATTTTAGTATAAAAATTTCGTCCCCTCGGCAACACTGAAGTTTACGAGGTCGTTTGCGCATTAAATTTGTCTCGTAATTTTACGAGGGGCTCGTAAACAGAGCTCCATACAAATTTTGGCAGTTCTTCTTCGAGGCTTGTAAATTTACGAGCTTTAAGAGGGAAGACCCATTTTTATTAGCTTATATGTTCCATTTTTTTGACTGTGTCAATTGTGATAACTGTTATTCTTGTCTGAGTCATTTATGTTTGTGCGATTTTTCGTTTGTGTTATTTTCGTTTTTGTTGTAGAGACGTGTTAACTATGACACCCTGTGAATCCCCTCAATATGTATATCATACTGATATTTTATTTTATTAAAGCAGGCTTGCTTGTTAATTAGACAGTTTTGTTATATAGTGATTAGATTTATGCCTAAAACTATTGATATTTTTATAAACTTCTTAGCGATAAACTTTTACTTAGTTTATGTACCAAACAA